GAACAGTTTTGTTCATGGGCTGCAGGAAGTCTCCCACCAGCCTGGTGGGGGAACCAAATCTTTTGACACCACAAGTGAAATCCTTTTAGGCTCTTGGACCTGATTCTTCAGCTCGCCATCGAACCTGGCCAATTCCGCAGTTCATAAGGCATACAATCGGTTTTGTGTTTCTCGTGAGTGTTTTATTGTTGAGTGATAATTATAGCTTCACACTCTAGGTTTGATAATAAAAGTGAAGACAAGTTTCACAACATTTAGGTTCAGCTTTCAACAGATGCTTCTTTCACGTCTCCGGGAATATTCATTCCTATATGACACAATTTTCACTTTATTAAGAGAAATGGAATCAATTATTGAAATTTTTGAATGGAAATGATCTACCAGCCAGGGTTACAGGATACAGACCAGAGTAAAATTAATTAAAAGTTTATTCTGTCTTTTCTGTAAAATAACCTTTTGTTCTGCTAAGTGAGTCAACAGGTTGTACTTTCAAAGATAACAAATAATCATGTATTGGAAATATTTACACTCAAGTAAAAAGTGTTTCCTTGATTTTGTGCTGCCTGTTTAACTCTTGTAGCCGAAGAGTTAAACAGGTAGTTAAACTTGTAGCTGAAATACCACCTTTCAGAGGTGGAATTTCTGTTTGTTATTTGGACATGGACAAACTCTAAAATGCTTCAAGGACACACACATATATATATATATATATATATATATATATATATATATATATATATATATATATATATATATATATATATAAATTTATTAACCTTTATTTTAGGGCTAATTAGCCACTTGTAACAAACTCCTTGTTAGACAGTCCTTTTTTCAAGTTTACTAAAATATCTTCACTAGAAACCCATCAAAAATACTTGGTATGATTCTGTGTTTTTCCATTAAGTAACCACTGCTATTGGTATGATATGCAGCAGGGAAAACTCTGTTATTTTTATGTGGCATCACAACTTTGTGAAGGGCAAAGATAAATATTTTCATTGCTCTTCTCTTAATATTAAATTAGCTAATATTGTAACAATGATAGATTTGGTTTCTTAGCTTCTTGTGTGTTTTTTAATTATAATTTTCCTCATGTGTTCAGCCCTTATGGATAAACACATGAAGGATGAACACTTGGCTTTGCCTTGATTTTTTTGTATATCTGGATTGCTTTGGTTGATGTCAGTGTCTGGGTTGGATTTCATCTTAAAAGGAGAAATAAATTTACTGTCATTGTGTTCAATATGTATTTAACCAGTTGTAATTCTGGTGGTTTTAACCTAAAATCAAATGTGATATAATGAAAATGCTTAGAAATTCTTATTTAAATATGATTTTCTTAATCTCACAAAGTACTGTCTCTTCAGCTTACAATGTTTAATTTCAACAATTTACTTCAAAACATCTTTAAACACTTTCACTATTGGACATGTGCACACATCCAGTACAAATAGAGGTAAACACTAAAACTTAAGACTAACATCATTTAAATAACTAAATAAATACAAGTATTGCAAAACAATACTTTTGTCTGGAGAACTTACTAACTCTGTAGGTGTTTTGAAAGGACCAGAACCCCAAAAGATGCATTTTTCCTTCTGTGCAATTAATAGAAGCAGTTTGTCAAAAGAACCACCAGATATATCATTGGCTCTCTAATATCACCGGGCAACTTATCACACATAGCACAGAAACAAACTATCAGATCAATGTTGTGCAAGTCTCTCCCTTTGCCAGCCGTCCACTAACGCAGCGGTTTATCAGTACACTTTAGTCACTGTTTCAGTGCAAACATACTTCTTCATGTGGAAAAAGCTTTTGGAAGGATGGAAAACTGAGAACACCTCCCATGTTTGTTGAGTGGGTGTAAATGCAGGATGGAGGGTTGAACTCCCTCCAGGTGTCAGGCTCCACTGAGCATGCCTCTCTGCGTCTCTGGCTGGACAGCCACGCCACCAACATTTCTATGTGCTGACCAGTCGCTACTCCTGTCTGTCCATGAGTTTACAACATGCAGGAGGTAGTGCTTGGGTGTCCCTGGGCACATACCTTCACAGCTGTTTCAGATCGGCCGCTTCATCTCTTATGGAAGCTGGGACTGTGAATTATATGAGACAGCTTGCCAAAGGAGCCCACCATGTCCACGGTCTCTTGTACTTTGTCTGGACTGAGCAGATCAGTAACATCCGGCTCTGTGGGGACAGCCTGCTGAAGGGTGTTTAACCTGGGAAGAAAGCGGGCCAGAGCTGGAACACCATGGTCTGAGCCACTGTGTCTTTGCTGGTTGTTTCCCAAACTGAGGAGGACCCCGTGTCCATCAGAGGTGTAGACGTTGTAGCCGTCTGCCTGGATCTGCTCTCTGAAGGTGCAGTCAGCTCTGCTGTATATTTGCTGGAAAAGACCAGAGACATTCTGATGTGAGCTTATTCAAACATATTGAGTTTACTTCCAAATGTATGTAGTGTTTTTTGACACAAAATAACTGTTAGGTAGTGCATTTATTTGGAATTCTGGGATTTCACAAGATCTTTCTTGATTTGCACTAATTAAATTTCTTTCTTTATTTTCATTTTTATTTCTGTGTTTTTTATTCATTTTATCTTTTAGTCTTAATTGAGAAGAGTTACACAATAAGATAGAGATTGGACGCTTCCTGAATAGATGTATTTGTCACTGGCTTTGTTGTATTATATGAAAATATATTATGAAGAATCTGTTTACAGGCCTTATATATTTATTGTTTTATGACAGTAGCTCCCTTTATAGAAATGAAACAACAGCAGAAACAAAATCACTCATATGGTCCTCTAGGTTCTTCGATGGTTGTTGACTTTGGCGAAAGACAGCAAGCCAGAGGCCAAGGTTGTTGTTGCTGCTGCAAGGCCTTTCATTAAGCTTTTTACTTTGTAAACACATCCTAACCTGCGCCGTACTGGACAAAGGTTGATGAACTTGTGGACTGTTTGAATGGCTGAGTAGCCTGTTGTGTTTTACAAATATGAAAGCTGATTGACAACATGAGAGAGGACAGCTTGGGTCAGCAGATATCTCTCTGGAACTTTATTTGTCAATGTTCCAACACTGTACCTGTATAGTTGCACTTTTATACAAATTAGTAAAAACTGGTTCTAAGGCAGTGCTTCCCTTTCCCAGTTCATTTCACACCACACGCATTATTATTTCCTACTTCATCGATTTCTTAAATGTATGCAAACAAAATAAATATTTTTGGTTTCTAATTCAGTGGGGATGTTTTTCAACTGACTGGAAATAAAAGGTGTTCAAATGTTATATTCATGCATATTCATAATATTATCTGAGAATCTTATACATTTCTTCCATTTATTAAGTTCTTAAGTTGAGGATGAAAGACCTCAACTCTAGATGCCTTCCAACTGGTAGACATTATTTACTGGAATCACATAACT